TTTTTTTAGTATTTAAATTAATAAATAAATTGATTAAATTAATTTAAATATTTTGATTAATAATTAATAAACTTATATGAGGGAGGGAGAGAGAGAGAGAGAGAGAGAGAGAGAGAGAATTTATTAATTTTATTATAAGAACATAAATTTAATATTTTATGTTCTCGAAGAACAAAAAAAAAATTTTCAAATCTTTTTCACTGGTTGCATTACTATGATTGCCAGTGTAGTATCTCTTACTATATTTGTTAGTGCTATTAATATGGTATGGCTGTGCATGGTTTAGAACCACAGATATTGGTACGAGACCATAAATCTGGGTTTGGAACCATAGCTCTTGGTTTGAGACCACAAATCTTGGTTCGAGACCACAAATCATGGTTCGAGACCATGGCTATTTTGTTATGTATAAATATGACAGCAAAGCTGATAAAGAGAAATAATAATTTTTGGAGAGGACTCCGATGAGGCATAAACAAAGTACCTTAAATAGTATACTAAATAAATACATTCCTTAATAACCTATTGTTATTAATTCCGAATCCCCTAATGAACATCCATTCCGCATAACCTATGCTTGTAACTCTGAGCTAATTTGACCTCATGTTAGCCACAGTTGCAACAACAGAAAAGGTGAGACAAGACTAAAAGCTTAGAATAGTCAAAGTGTATACCACTGCTTAAGCACTTATCGCATCGCTGAACTTACTAGAAGATAGTGAAGACGATACTCTTGTTGTAAATATTCTTTGAATCACTCGTCATTATGATCACTTACCATTCGTTCACAATTTACTGTTAAGTCTGGAACTAATTTTTCTCAAGGTAGCCTACTCTCTTGAAACAGTCCTTAATACTACTTTCGAATTAGTCCTATTATTGAATTTTGTGATTCTTTATTAATTCAGTTGTTGGGAATTTTTTTAGCTGACTCGGAAAGCAGCTGCAATAATATCTAACTCTCAATATAAGTGCTTTATTATGTTATTTATACTTTTCACGTGTAATATTGTACAAATCATTAGGTCATTTTTTATTGAATAATAATTTTTAAAAAATATATTTATTTTTAAAATTTATAATAATTTTTGGCCAATTCTATTTTGACCAGGGTCAAAGTGAGCCATCATGTGACTATATGTTTGAGAATTTTCAAAACTTTGAACGAAGATATCTCAACAACCATCTAACCAAACTCGATAAAACTTTTTTATTTGAATTCTAGAGATTCATAGAATTCGAATAAAAAATTTTCATTGAATTTTGTCAGTTGGTTGTCGAGATATCTTCGCTCAAAGTTAGAGAAAAATCAAACCGCCTATCAAAATAGAAGCTGCATCAAATTTTTTCTCTACATTGAGCGAAGATTGAATTCTACGGATACATAGTATTAGAATAAAAATTTTTCATCGAAATTAGTCAGGTGGTTGTCGAGATATCTTCACTCAAAGTTAGAGAAAATCAGAACGCCTATCGAAATAGAAGCTGCACCAAATTCTATTTAAAACTTTGAGCGAAAATATCTCAACGACCATCTGATCAAATTCTATAACATTATTTATTAGAATTCTATGAATCCATAGAATTCAAATAAAAGAAGGTTTATCGAATTTGCTTAGATAATAGTTGAGATACCTTCACTCAAAGTTAAAGAAGAAATTTGGCGCAGCTTCTACTTTGATAGGCGATTTGATTTTTCTCTAACTTTGATCGAAGATATCTTAACAATTACCTGACCAAGTTCGATGAAATTTTTTATTCAATTCATGAACCCACAGAATTCAGATAAAAATGTTTTATTGAATTTGATCAGATGGTTGTCGAAATACCTTCGTTCAAAGGTTTGAAAATTCTCAGGCATATGGCCGGGTCAAAATAGAATTAGCCATGATTTTTAGCTACAATTTATTATTACTATTAATTTTCAAAGTTTGCACTAGAGTTAATACCTCTATCCGGATATATATATCCGGATATATACTATGTCATGTGATATAACGTGACATAATGTTTTTATATCCGGATATAAATATATCCGGATTTAAATTTATATCCGGATTTATACTATGATAAACCCGGATTAATCCGGATATATTTTTTATATCCGGATTGAGGTATTAACTCTAGTTTGCACAGTTTTTAAATATTGCACATTATATTTTCTTTAAAATAAATTTTATAGTAAAAAACAAAAGATTATACAAGTAAATAGAATAAGTTATACTTTTGTCTTTTCTTATTAATTTAGACCAGAATAAACTTTTATTATTCATTATCACTATTATTAATTTTTCTTGAATAAACACGAACTATATGGTAATACGTATCAAACTCAAATAGCTCATCTTTTGATACTTTAACCAATTCATAATATTCATCATCAGAAATTTTTAACGCTTTTGTTAAAATTGGTTTAAGAGAATCGTATAAATAAGCCATATTTCTGATAGACTATTTGTTTTATATCGTGTTAAAAACTTTTTAAAAGTGATTTCTAAAAACAATTCAATTTGTTTCGTACATTACCATTTTACTAAGTTCAATATCATTTGACTTTGCACCATGATAGCATTGTTTTACTTCTTTTTTAACATTTTCTAACTGACCTAATTTAAAGAACAATTAAATTAATTATAAATGATTTATAATATTTAATTGTATGATGAAGGGTTACAAACCTTGATTTTGTTCATATACTTCTAATTTTTCATAAATATTCCAATCTACGCCTCGTTCCTCCAATATTTTTGCCACTTTATGATAATTGAATAGAACATAATGTAAATAATAAATTGAATATATGGGATAATTTTATGATACATACTTGTAAGCCATAAACGTTTATCAGCAGGTCCAAGATTAAACATACGAGAAAATTCACATAGCTGAATAAAAAAATGAATTGATCAAACCATAATTACTTAAAGAATTACAGTGTTCAGAATTCACAAAAGTGTGATTCACTGATATTTATATATGTATTTCGTTATTATAAAAAAAATTTAGCGCAAATTTTTAATATCGGAATTTGCAAAAAGGTGTGACCTCCACAGATCATGATGTCATGGGAATCAACCGATTTTAAAAAATACAGATTTTAACGAATATGTAGATACGTTAGAAAATCCGACTAATTAATAGACAATCTAGAATCTCGGAAAGGTTTCATCGATCACCATCGCAAAATCATGGGGTCACACCTTTTTGCAAAACCGCAGATATGCTTTAAATTTGTAAATGCGATTCCAAAATATTGTTGAGAAATTGAATATCGGTGAATTTCACATCCTTTAGAATATGACAAAATCTCAATTAAGAAAATACCTCCAAGTATCCACCTGGCTTTAAAACTCTGACCAATTCATTAATTACATCTGGCCATTTCTCTTTTGGAATTGCAGAAGCCAAATATCGTTGAAATACAAAATCAAAAGTGTTATCTTCGAATGGTAATCTTTCTAGAACATTTGCTGTAATGAAAGTAAAATTTTTAGGTTTTATCTGTGTTGGTTGGTGTGGTGATATATCTAATCCAACAACATTAATCAATGGATATCTAAAAATATTTATAAAGGTTTATAAGTGTAATAAAAACTGAATATAGTCTGAAGCTTTATACGTTAAAAAATTATACTCACGTGTTTGCCATATCAAATGACCATGATCCTGCGCCGCACCTAAAGTAATAAATATAATTTTATTCAAATTTTATTAATTTTAATAAATTACCATGAAAACAATTACGTACCCAACATCTAGAATCTTGGAGCCTGATTTAGACAAAATATGTTCGATGGGAGCTGAAAAGTTACTTTGCCAGATATATCTTATTATAAAATGTTGGAAGTGTAATCTATCTAATTCTCCTTCATCGTTTGGTAGAGCATATATGGCGTCTTTTACATTATGAAATCTTCTACCATCAATATATTGAAATTCTGTCTGAGAATTTTGTAAATTGATTGAATCAGCTTTTTCGCTTAATTTAGACATGATACAATATCACTTTAGATATTCTTGCTTATTATTAAGGTTTAAAATTGAATGTAGAAAATCGAAATTTGACGAAACATTAGAGAATTTAAGTAAAATTTGACATTAATACGTAATTATTTCTCAAAAAATGATTCACCAAATTAATTAAATTTTTATCGTGCTTTGTCAAATTTTTGGAACTATTGATACAATGAACCGGATTAACTTATACATGCTATTCTGCATGACTTAGGGTGTCCCTGTACCATAATTTGCAGATCCTCATATGTAACATGTAATTCTATTGGTTGTTGAGAATTCTAGTAAACCGGTGAAATCAGCGTTAGCATAGTAATAGTAATAGTAATAGTTTTTTTTTTTATATTTCAGATCTGCATAGCGGAATTAGTGCGAGTTTCACTCCGTCGTATTTTATTTACATGAAATTCGACGAAAATTTTTTATTAGATTTCTACAGCTACGTCAAATAAAAAAGTATATAGGTATAAGTGGGTATATAGAATTTCATAAATTTTTTTCCTCTTATTATAAAATTGTCGTGTTCATGTGAAATGAGGTATGTCATTCTTAAATCATGTCAAATAAATTTTTATACATACGTGCGTAGCTACTGTATTCCAGATCTTCATATCATTGGAAATTCACAATCTTTTCCAGATTTCTATAACTGTTTTCAAAATAGTTGTGGAAAGATACAGATCACCATACTTCGGTAAGAAATTCACAATATCATTCCTAGATTAATGTAAAATAAAAAGTGTAATTCATATAAGAACCAGTACTTAAATTTTTAAAATTGACCAAAAAGTGCCAAAACCCGGTTTTCTTAGTCCATTTCCCATATTAATATGGTTATATAGAAATCGTTTACCATATCTTTCTGAAAAACAGTCATAATTATCACGATAGCGTGTATTATGTATAAGTATGAGAATTTATTCAATTAATCAATGGTGCCATATACCAGGAATGGTAATAAAACTTGAAATTCTTCACAATATTGCATCACATACCCTATGAAAACTCGATACACAGAAATGCACGCATAAATACGAAATTTTATGCGGATAAGCACGGGTTTCAGTATCACTGCACGGAAACTGCACGGAAACTGATCATCCAAAAAATTTAATACATGTTATCATACGAAAAATTGAAATTCATGCACTATCGTGCACAGTATCATATCCATATATTGACGTGTATTAATCTTAATGACCACATAATTTCCATGCACTAACGTGCACAATCGTTAAGATTCTTAATGATTGTGCACGTTAGTGCACGGAAGTCAAGAATCTTAACAATTGTGCATGTCAGTGCACGAAAATAATGATCGTTAAGAATCTTAACGATTGTGATGATCGTGACATCAGTGCACTGAAATTATGATCGTTAATATTATTAATGATCATAATTTCAGTGCAACGTGATGATCGTGACGTCATTGCACAGAAATTATGATCATTAATATTATTAATGATCATAATTTCTGTGCAACGTGATGATCATTAAGATTCTTAACGATCATAATTTCCATAACAGGGAGACCGTCCCAAATAAGGAAATTATGGTTGCACAAACATTCCAACCTTGCTTATTTTATAGACCAATCAAATTAGCCAATTTTGAAGGCTTTAATAATATTAAAATTTTAATTATATCATAATTTCATAGTATATTACAATAAGACAATATAAACTTTTAATAAAATAGCATCTCACAAGTATGTCGCAATGATATCGCAATATTGCTTTAATTAGTTTATTTAAAATAAAAAATTACAATTGAAGAAATAATTGTTTTGCATTTTCAAATAAATTTGCCATTGTTGCTGCATCATCTGTTGTCGCATCAGCATCTGAATCATCTTCAACCGTGTCTTCATTACTTTCATCAATAAATTCATTTTCGCCCAATTTGTTCGTTATACTTACCTTAATCGCATTAACATTTTTTTTAATTTTGTCCTGAAGATATTCTAAACAAATCAAACATTTAAATTTGCATCTTTGCGGGCAATGGCTATGGTAATCATGCCCACACGAAAGAACAATACCATCATTAGAGAAGTTAGTATAACTAGTACAACTGCAATATAAATGATCACATAAAATAGTTGTGAATGGCTTTCTGGTAGTAACGAAACCTCTTGGAAGGTGACGATCGGTTATGTCGTAATCTAAAGAATGCAGCTTATAAGTGTTAATACCATCAGATGAATTAATAATCAAAGGATACAAATGACACGCTTTATATATTTTCGCAAATGTTTCTAAAAGTAATATAGCACATTTTTGAGAAAGCATGTGCAATTGCTTCGGTGAATATAGATATTTCACGGAATTAACAAAATATTGCCGAAAAGTATTATCCTCGTGCTGCTGAAAAATAAAACGCGCCTTCTTTTGCAACTGATCTGCTGTGAAAAACTTAGGTGTACGTCGACAAATGATGCTGTGAGCGATCTCTACGGGAGAATCGCTTAAAGAAGCAAGATAAGTAGTAATCATATCGATTATCGGATGACTAATCTCCATCCAGTAAAAATGTCCGAGAAGAACATTAATAGCGCACGCTTATAGTTTTTCCTATCGAATCAGAGAAAAAGATCGGTCCAGCAACACATGCACGACTCTTCATAAGCTGGCCAGTTACCTTCTCGGTGATACACAGTATAAACATCAAGAACTAAAGGAATTAAATTGCTCAAGAGATCGGTTAAATATAAAAATTCGATATTTTTACAAGAATGACCAAACTTGGAATAAACAATATCACCTATGTCGAGCCATGCCATGCATATTATGTAAAGAATTAAGTCGATTCGCCATGGCCGTGGCTACTTACCAAGATTCTTCTTTTTTCCGAATATGCCCTTGTATATATCGATAAAGAGAAATGAATTCATTTTATAAATGAGTTCACGGCCGTTTAACGATACATGAAGAGGACCCATCATTGGTAAAAACGATGTAACGAATGGAGGAATAACTTCGTTGTTTAGAAGAATCCGGTGTGCGATAGCTTTGCAAATAAAGAATTGACCAGGCCAGTCCGCAACGATAGGAATTACATAGTTTTCGAGATACTCTTGCATGGATTCTTGATCATGCACTATTTGAAGAGCTCTTGTATAATCCTCAACACTTTTCAAATTGCTTCTAACAAAATCAAAAAGGATCAAATTTTGTATATTCCGATCTGCGCTTTTTTCTACCAACCTGTCATTATAGCTATGCAATGTTAATCTCTCTATAAGTTCATAATCAGAACACTTACCTATGTAATCCCGACTACGCTCATGATAAGGAATACTGAGATTAATGATAAATCGTTCATTAAAATGTCTTGTAATCAATTCATCATCAACGATTTTTGGATTAAGCGCCCGGTTATGTGATATCGATGATATAGAACACAGATTTGCGAGAATTGTTGTCATGTGCGCCGGAATAGATGTGCTAGTAGAGTCAGACTGCTGTGGCACATGGATATTATGATAATCATTAATATTTAGCACGAAAGCTTTTTCTGAATGCTTCAAAAGAGCATTTTCTACATATTTTTCATGAGCATCAGCAACTTGTTTTTTCTTTCGATCAACTGCTCTTGCTGTCGTAGCCACACCGAGACTTGCCATCATATTTAAGCCTTCATTGGTCGTACCTACAGAATCTAGATAATACACAACGTCGAGCTTAAAGGAATTAATTTTTGAATTATTTAATGACGCAAGAAGATAGCATATGTGTACTATTAATTTTTTCATATGATCTATAGTTTGCTTATAGCGTTCAAGTGGTCTAGCTATCAAATAAAGTTGATCAAGAAAATTTTCTACACTTTTATTTGTTTGAAATACTTCCCGCAGTTCATCATATGAATAAATAGAACCTTCTTTCTTTACATGTTCTCTTTCATAGAAGACTCTTGTCATGGCCTCTATAGTCTTGATGAAGTCGATCATACTCACCTCCTCCACATCTTCTGTTGTAGTCCCTACATCTTTCTTTGTAACTTCTTCCCTAGTTGTGACTTCAACTTCCTCAACTTCAATTGAAACTTTTACTCATTTGGCTCCTCTTTGTAGTAGATTTTCTACAAAATCATATAACAATTATGACACAATATACCACCTTTCTTCCACGTTACCTTAGTTAAATTATTATTTTCTGCTTCCTCCACTTTTTGTCTTTCAAAGAGCGGAATTTAGTTGGCCCAGTGGTTCCGCAATTCATACAACTCTTAGAATCAGTCATTTTTTTACTGGGCAAATATAATATGAAGGTTGAAGGATTCAGAGGGATTCAACTGATATTATTAAAGTATGGCACGAAGACTTCAAGTTTTCTTAGTGCACTTTACTGGGCTAATAGAAGAGATAATCTACCTGAGCTTCCGAAAAAAGTATTGTAACACGTATAAAAAAAATCCCGAATCAATTGAATCGTTTGTGTAACAATCTGCAAACTCAGGGCATACTCAGGATGGTCTCCCCTGTTAATTTCCATGCATTGATGTGCACAAAAACATTCGTTCTGTGAGTAAATAAATATTTATTTTTGTTTTTTTTGTTTTTTTGTTTCACTTTTTTATTTTTTTATTTTTTTTTACAACTTACAAATTTTATATTGTTTTTGAAGTTATCTTTTAGAGTCAGTCACTTGGAAATTGCTCTTTTGGAATCACTATTGTTTTTGGTCTATATTTTTCATGGCTTTGTTTTTTCTTTTATTTTTTTTAGTTTTTTTTTTATTTGCTTTCTATACATTACTGCATTTTGCTTCTATTTTTTAGTATCTTCTTTGAATTACTGGAGTTAGCACTATTGGAGTTATTGCTA